AAAAGCTGAGGAAAGGGGGCTCCCAGCCTTGACCTAATAATGAAATTTGCACAGCCCCTCTACCCATCTCATTCGACAGTCTCTTTTGTGAGAGGGGCCCACTTGCTAAGTAAAATGATGCCAAGTGACACTGAATTCAGGCAATTCCAAAATATCCTTAGGGCTTGCATTGATTTTGTCCTATTGCCTTCTCCCCTGTACCTACTGATCCCTCATTGTCTCTTTAAAGGATATAGCAACATTTATACTGTGAGCATAATAACTAATGCTTTACACAATTATTTTGAGACACTGCTTGTTGTGAAATTTTAAATGAATATCAGCCCTAAATCCACAAGTGGATTCAGTTTAGATATTGCCCTTAATTTCCATTTCTTTCTTTCTTTCTTTTTCTGTTTTTTTTTTTTGTACCGGGGATCGAACTTGGGTCCTTGCGCTTGCAAGGCAAGCAGACGATACACTGAGCTAAATTCCCAGCCCCTTAATTCACATTTCTCTACCTATACCTATTCTTTCTATTTGATGGGAAACATATCCTTTTTATCTTAATTTTTGTATGGGAAGTGTTTTTCAAGTACACTCTGGAATTGTCTAGGTTTCCAGAGGTAAAGCATTGTGAGTGAAAGTGAGGCTTCCTCTTTCACACAGGTAGTATGAAAGTGTACATTTCTGTGCGCATTTCTGGTTTTCACTTTCAGTAAAGTATTTAATAAATTACATGAGATATGCAACACCTTATTATAAAATAGGTTTTGTGGGCTGAGGATGCAGTTTAGTTGCCAAGCACTTGTCTAGCATATGTGAGGTCCTAGGTTTGATTCCCAGCACCATCACTCAAAAAAGGCTTTGTGTTGGATGATTTTGCACTTTAGGCTAGCTCAAGGTAGGTGAGGTAGCCTAGGTAGGCTACAGTGTTCAGGCTTTGAATGAATTCTAAGGAAATTTCAGGAAAAAAAATTCCAAAGGAAACATCCTAAAATTTAATTGTACCACATAGTCTGTCATCATTTTTTTTCTAAAAGGCTTTGCAATAAAAATTATTTTTAATGAAGTTTCAAACTTTATAAGGGTGGGGTGGTATCCAAAATGTAAATACAATACTTAAAAGTGTTGCGTGGCCTGAGCATCTATAATCCTAGTACTCTGGGAAGCTGAGGCAAGAGGATCATATATTTCAGCCCCACCTGGATTATTTAGAAATTTAGTTGACACTCTGTCTCAAAACAAAAGAAATACAAAAGAAATTTTAAGAGGGCTGGCAGTGTGGCTCAGTGTGAAGGCTGTGGGTTCAATCCTCAATAATGGGAAAATAAAGTGTTGACACCAAAGAAAAATGATTAATCAATTTAAGAGCCCTGTTTCTTTTGAGTTGTAATTAGTGGTTCTTCACTAAGGGTGATATCTCTCTCCACCCATTTCCAGGTGGTCAAGTAGCAACATCTGGAGATACTTTTGGCTGTTACAAGTGAGGAGGGGGTACTTCGGGCATCTAGTTGTCTGAAGCCAAGAACACTGCTAAACATCCTGCTATGCACAGGACCCCACTACATGACAAAGACATACCTGGTCTACATATTCACAGAGCTAAGTTTGAGAAACCTAGTCTAGACTGTAGTGCACAGGACTTAGCAAATCTCTTGTGGAACTGTTCCATCCATGTCCTCGAGTGTGTTGCTATCTTATTCTTCCAGGTGCCAATGAGGTGGAGAGATTGTATATGCATGCTATTCTACAAAGGAACTGGTAGAACACTTTTCTTCCCTCAAAAAGATACAAAATAAAGAAGTGTCAGAAATAGTGCCAGTCCTGAGTTGCTGCTGTCCTCCTTGCAGGATGGCCTAGATTTGAGGCCTTTGAAGAATTCATGCCAGAACTATAAAATTCAGGTGATCATACCATGTAACTCTCCCTTCCTTTAGTGCAGGAGATATGGTTTTTGCCTCAGCCTTCCAATTAGTTCTGGCCATCCAGGACTTGTCTATGAATGGTAATTGAGGGATAAGACATGTATTCATTATTTTGCGTACCATTGCTACTGCTGAAATACTTTCCATTAGAAGGAAGCTGATGGCTAAATACAACAATAAATATTCATAATACATTGAACACTTCCTGTTTTTATGTTTATCCCTAATTGCCTATAAACATTTTATAGACATATTTATATTAAAAAGACCTAATTAATTTTCATGACACTCTTGGGAAGCAGAGGGGGTGGGTATATTATCCTCATTTTAAGAGGCAGTAATTAGACCTGCCTGAAGTTACATATTATTTGCAGGGTGAGGAACAAATGGCAGGTATTGACAATGTCATGTCTGCCAGCTAGCTCAGTGTTATGTTGATGGCATCGACTCATCAGATCCTGGTTAGTGACCAGTCATAAAAACCTAATTTCAAAATCCTTTAAAAATGTACATGGCAGATTATGAAGCATTGTTGCTAACAAGGACATTTCCATTTCTAATGTTTTATCCTTTTAATAAAAAATAGCATAGAGAAGTAAATGTAGAAATCATAAATTACAGGTCAGTAACTGTTCAGTAATGGGCCACATGGATTCAAGTCCTGTGCTAAATTCTCTGAAAGACTGAAGATAAATACATATCTTTTCCATAGCATCTGTGTAGTTGGAGGGTCAAGCTTTACTTGCAAGAAACATACAAAGTAAAAGATATAGTAAGGCTTATATAAACAAGTGTCAGAATATTTGTGTAGGAGGCTTCCGGATCCAGAGAGGAAGATGTGTTTTTGTGAAAACAGAAGGAAATGAAAATGAGTCTTGAAATATTAGTATTGATTCAAGAGGCCAGCGGGAATCAGGGAACAGACAGAAGTGTTATTAAATATGGGTAGTGTCCTTGCTTTCTGGAAGAGAAAAACTTGCAAGCTATGAAGTGGTATTTTTTTTTCAGCTTTAATTGAGTTTATTGGTACATTTTAGGGATACAGTACAGTTACATTCATTGTTGGGATCTTGTACCTCTACATGACAGCTCTTGGTTCTCATTTTTTCCCCTTGTCCCTGCCCTCCTTTCACCCCCTCCTCCCCTCCCCATCTACAAACACTTTATTTCCATCTTTTCATTATCTCACATTTTTCTCTTTTCTCTTATTACCCTTCCCCTACCCATCCCACCTTCCCTACGCCTTTAGCCCCTTTATTCCTATTTCACGTCAGTAATCTCATTACGATCTTATGTATGATTGCAGTTTATTCACACCAGAGAAACTATTCAGTATTTCCACATGTGTGACTTATTTATTTCACTTAGAAGTATATCTTCAATATGTCTCCATTTTCCTATGAATGAGTCTATTTTCTCGTTCCTTATGGCTAATATTCCATTTTGAAGTAGTATTTATTTATTTTACTATGTGAACTGAAGGCAGAAAAACCGAACCACAAGGAAATAGAATAAACAATATAGAACAGACAAGGAGATTTCCTGGGTTCCTGTAAATACTCCAGTTCCTGGTTCTGATCTCTGCCTGAGCCTCAGCTGCATTATTGTCAAATATGTTCCAGTAAGAAGCCAAGCAGTGGCCAGGAATTCCAGCCAACGACACAGGAATGAGCATAGAGGGTGCTATCACTAGACCTAAGCTTCACAGCAAACACTGAATTTGGAAACAACTGTCTGCAGCTGGCTTTTCTGGTCAGTTTTGGTTTAGAATCAAGGTTGTGGGTTGGCCAGATGTGTTGTTCCTGCCCTGACTCAGGCTTTGTGGCCTTGGATTATTCTTTTGAGACATTTCCATAGATACAGAAGCCTCCTTGCTCCCTCAATTTGAACTTTGACTAAGGATTGATGAGTGATGGTTTGCTGTCTACTGGATAAAATCTCATTTTCCATAAAGTAGATTACTTCCTCTGGATAGAAGTCATTTATTTGGAATCAGATTACCAACTTTGGAATAGCTGTCTTGGCAAGTGAAGTGTTTGTCTCAGTATTTGTTCTTAGTACTGTATTATTTTTAATATAAAGACAGATTGTGACTTGGGATTCAGTTTTTGTTTTTTACTTTTCCTGACAGCAGTGTAATCTATGATATCCTACCTAAGAATCCTAAAAATTTACAATCAATATGCTGCTTATGAAGTTATGAAAAATGCACTGTTAAAATTATGAGTCAATGGGCTGAATTTTTATTAAATAATTTTTAGTTACAAATAGTGGTGACTTAATTGTAACTAAAGAACAGTCAAGTCTTTAAGTGTCTCTTATAAGCAAGCAGTTCACTGAGAATTTACTTTTCTTGCTCTTATGAACTTTCTGTATATTTCTTCCTGTATTTATTTATGGGTATGTTTTTATGTGTGGCCTATTGTTTTTTCTCTCATCTTTTTACAAAATTGAAATATTTTTATACCCTGCTCTTTCATGTTATGTATTATTCTAAAATTACTCATGGAAAACTCTTCATAAAGCATTTTAAACATTTCAAAGACATTTAGGAAAAATACTGCAAGCATCCTTTACACATCACTTACATTTGAGAACTATTAGTGTTTTGCAAATTCAATTCATCCTTACGTGGGGGGTATCAAATTAGTCTCTCTGACATTTACATCAGGTGTCCAGTTGGTTTTTTATTTTCAGGAATTCTTAAAGAATACAGCGCATTCTGCTATTACAATTACCACCGAAGAGAAAATAGGCAGCTGTTTCTGGCACTTTCTTAGTTAGAAAAAAATATAAGTCACAAGAAAGCAAGACTTCTTTCACCTTTTGGGTGTAAACTGACGAAAATACCCAGCAGGGCTACTATGAGTCACAAATTTGTGCTCTCGGTAGACACTTAGAACCCGTCGGTGAGCTGAATTTGTTATTTTAAAGCCATACGTGACAAACGCACTTTTTCTTAATGCCCCTGAAAAGAGCAGAGTCCTGAGAGTGAAAGAGCCACAATGCTGGAGTAGAGGCGCAACAAAAATCTGCACTGGGGCAGACCGCTTCGTTTTCAATCACTGACTCTTCAATGTGGTTCGAGGCAGAGCACATTAAAGAATTTCAGCGCCTCACTGTAAGGCTTAGTTAAAGAAGCAAAGCGTCCCTCAGACCACCGCAGGCTTAACCTATTTTAGGACCCCACCCTCACAGGTTTTCGATTCTGTAGGTCTAGGTGGGGCTGTAAATTCAGGTGACGGGAAGGTAACGTCCAGAAATAACGGGTGCCCAAGTGACTCGAGGAGGGAGCGCAATAAATGTTCACTGCGAACATCATCACCAGCCAAGCTGCCCACGCCAGACGCCCGGGTACAGCGCGCAGGGGAGCGACGGCCTCCGCCCGGACCTTCCCGACTTCTTGCCTCTTCGCCGAGAAACAGGTCAGAAAGGCAGGCGGCAGGAGCAGCAGTGTCGCTGCCTGATGGAAGGGGACCCCTGTCTCCGACATCCGCCCCTGGGGAGAGGCAGAGGCCATCGCCGCCGGAGCTCCGCCGCGCCGAGTCCGCAGCTGTTAGCTGTTGGTAGGGACAGCCAGTCCTCTAGGCGCGGCGGTTCGGGCCTGGGGGGTGGGCGGAGGCTTCATCCCGGGCGAGGGAGAGGGCGAGGGCGAGG